GTCGGAGAGATGGTGAGGGTAGGGGGGTTCTGGGGGGGGGTAACGTTTGGACATTTAAATACTCTCACACCCCAGCTTCTCAGCCGTTCGATCAAGTAAACCTCGACGGCTGAGATTTGCTGCGAGCAAAACGGCATCGTTTAGGTTATGGGGGTGTTGGACCGGGTGCAAGGGTAATTTGGGCTAGTTTTTGGACGGGTGTTTGGGTCTTTGATTTGGGCCGGTAACTTAAACCAGAAATTGGCCCAAAATTTGGGTCTTTTTAAAAATAAGAGACTCAAATTTCTTTTGATTTTCTTTTCTCTTCTTTTTTTTTTTTCAAATTAAAATTTAAAAGTCTAAATTAATTCTAAAAACTAAATTAACCTACCCAATCTATTTAATAATTGATACAATTAATTAAATACCAAATTTAAAGGAAATCTAACCAAAATCAAAGCTAAAAGTTAACCAAAGCAAAAATAACTCATTTTTTGTGATTTTTATATTTTTTGTGAAATCCTAATTACTAATTAATCTAAAATATATAAGATTAAATCCTAAATGCAAATGCGAATTTTGTATTTTTATGAATTATGTTAAATAAAAATGCACACAGTAAAAATGCAAATAAACACGAAAATTATGCAATTAATTCCTACAAATTAAACAATTAAAAGAAAAAATCCTAAATCTAAGAAATCTGTAGGAGTAATTCGTGCGAGGCAAAAATCACATGCTCACAAGCTTTCCAATGATCTCTTCCAGGATTGGCTTGATACTTGCTAACCAGACCTACGACATAACAAATATCTGGGCGAGTACACATCATAGCGTACATCAAGCTCCCGACAGCACTTGAATATGGAACTCGAGACATGTCTTCCTTTTCATTTTCAGTCTTGGGACACATTTCAAGGCTTAAATTTTCACCTCTCGCTATAGGAGTATCTATGGATTTTCAACTATTCATGCAAAAACGCTCCAAAATTTTCTTTATATAAGTTTCCTGAGATAGACTCAATAACTTTTGGAACGGTCTCTTTGGATCTTAACTCCAAGGATATAATTTGCCTCTCCCATATCTTTCATGTCAAATGACTTTGAAAGCCATGACTTGATAGTTTTCAAATACTCCAAATTGTTTCCGGCCAATAAAATATCGTCCATATAAAGAGAAAGAATTACAAACATCCCATTGGACTTCTTCACATAAATGCAATGGTCTTCATTGATCATGGTGAAATCATATGAGGTCACCTCCTTGTGAAATCTCAAATACCATTTCCTTGAAGATTGCTTCAGGCCATAAATAGATCTTTTCAATTTACAGACCTTCTTTTCTTGCCCTTTTACAATGAAGCCTACAGGTTGTTCCATGTAGATTTCTTCGTTTAGTTCTCCATTGAGAAAAGCTGTCTTCACGTCCATTTGATGTAATTCTAAATCCAAACGTGCAACAATAGCCAAAAGTAAGCGAATTGAGGTAAACTTCACAACTGGTGATAATGTTTCCTCATAATCTTTTCCAGCTTCTTGAGTAAAGCCTTTTGCCACCAATCGTGCCTTGTATCTTTCTATTGACCCATCCGCTTTGCGTTTAACTTTGAGAACTCATTTGTTCCCAATGGCTCTATGCCCAGGCGGAAGGTCAACTAGATCCCAGACTTTGTTGGTTTTCAGGGACTCTAATTATTCTTTCATTGCTTTCATCCACTCATCTTTTCCAGGGCTCGATAAAGCCTCAGTCACAGACTTTGGCTCATCTATTTCTGTGGGAGATACCAAGAAAACATAATCTTCAATGTCATAAGTACGTTTGGGTATATTTCTCCTGGCACTTTTTCGTAGTTGAAATTCAGGTTCGTCAGAAGGATTTTGAGATTGAGAGTTCCCACTCCCACTCGGATCAAGAATAAGATCTTGATCAATTTGATTATTAATTGTGTCAGAAGACACTTGCTGACTGTTTGAGTTCAACATTTCATAAAGAGGCTCTCCATTCTTTACCTCACCCTTCTTTGGAAAATCATTTTCCAAAAATGTGACATCTCGCGATTCAATCTCAGTAACACTTCCATCCTCTAATTCACAATTGAACATATACCCTTTGGAGTGTTCTGAATATCTTATAAAGATACATTTCTTGCCTTTTGGACCTAATTTTACTAAACTTGCTAAGAGAATCTTTTACATATGCAGCACAACCCCAAGGTCGTAAATCCTTTAAGTTTGATTTATGACCAGTCCATAGATCATAAGGAGTAGAAGAAATTGATTTAGAAGGCACTTTATTCAATATGTAGGTTGCAGTCAATAACGCGTCTCCCCAAAAGGAGATTGGTAAATTTGCCTGCGTCATCATGGACCTTATCATGTCCAATAGTATTCTATTCCTCCTTTCTGCTACACCATTTTGTTGAGGTGTGTACGGAATAGTTAACTGACTGTGATGCCCTTTTCATTACACAATTCTCCAAATTCTTTTGATAGATATTCACACCCTCTATCGGTTCTTAAGGTCTTAATCCTTTTGTCTAATTGATTGTCAACTTCATTCAACTATTTCTTAAAGAATTCAAGTGCTTCCGATTTATGAGAAATCAAATAGACGTAGCCAAAGCGTGTGAAATCATCAATGAGCGTAATAAAATATAAAACACCAGACCTAACCCTCACATTCATTGGACCACAGATATCAGAATGGATTAATTGCAATGGAAAATCAGCTCTCTTAGCCTTTCCAAATGGTTTACGTGTAATCTTTCCGGTAAGACAATTTTCACAAGTTGGCATTTCAATTTAGAGAAAGAACCTAAATGTCCTTCCTTAGACAATCTATTCATTCGATCCTGCCCTATGTGACATAATCTTGCATGCCATGTAATAACATCAACATCATTGTTACTAGAATAACATGCCATAACACAACGGTCAACATAATAGTTATACGTAGAAGGATTGCAATCTAACACAATAAAACCATCATAACAATGTCCAAAACCATAAAAAAACATTGCCTTGAGTAATTCTAAGACCATTGCGACTAGAGTTCAAATTGAAATCTAAATCTAGAAGAACAGAGACAGAGACTAAGTTTTGTCGAATCTCCGAACATACAGGACGTCATGCAACATCAAATATCGGCCGCCACGCATGTCCATTCTGCAAGTTCCTATCCCCTTGACTTAAAGCTTTGCATTATTTCCCACATATACATGCTTTGATCCAGGTGAAACTCGACGAAACTCTATGAACTCTTCTCTATCACGGCTCACATGGTCGGTGGCCCCTGAGTCTACAATCCACACAGGATAAGATTCAGTTAGTAAAACTGTGCTAGAAACATATATAGCACTAGGAGATGCATTTTGAAACGCTACCTTTTTCGGCTCAGTGCACTCTCGAGAAAAATGCCCTGGGACTTGGCAATTGTAGCACTTCATCTTGCTCTTATCTTTCTTCTTATAGAGCCATTTTCCTTTCTTGGAATTTGGCTTGTTTCTTTTCTTGGAGGATCCTTCTCCGGTCTCCTTACCCTTTCCGTCCTTTTTTTAGTTTCTCTTGCACTTGAAGCTTGATCTCTTTGTACCACTTGATTCTGCCACAAAGGCATTAGGTATAGCTTTAGCAGCACCAAGCCGCTCGTCTTCAAGCTCCACATGACGGGCAACATCAGCAAAAGTTTTGATGCTATCATTGTGGGTCAAGTTAACCTTGAGATGTTCCCAATTATTGGGAAGAGACCGAAGCACTGCCTGAACCTACTGCTCATCAAAGAGAACATGACCAGCACTTTTGAGTTAAGCAATCATATTTGACATCACCCTTAAATGTTGCTTGACACCGTGATCATGACGCTTTTTGTACGTGTCAGACTTGATTGTCAACTGTCGAAGGCGAGTCACAGTCGTACCCCCATATGCCTCTCTTAAATGTGCCCACATGGCTTGAGCAGTAGGATATTGCTCACATTCGTTGATGAGATCATCAGCAACTGAACTTACAATAATTCCACGTGCAGTGGAATCTTTCTTCTTCCAAATATTGTAAGTTTCCAGATCCCTCCTGTGTTGGGCAGTGTACCCTCCTCTGTGTGACTCATAGCATGGTTAATACTTTCAAGAGCATCTTGCTTTTCGAGTACATACCACATCTTATGACTCCAGATGTCGTAATTTTCACCATTCAGTTTGTAACCCTTGTTCAAGTCAGCAATGATACTTTTTGATGCCATGCTTGTTATTAGAGACAATATTACAAGGTTAACTCATCAATATATACTTCAGTTAATTTATGCATGTGATTACACACTCAAGTAAATTAATTGTAATATTAATTCTACATTTAGTATAGAATCGAACGGTCACTACGTTTCCATTCCTCATCGATATCTAAATATTTTAATTAATATTAAAATTACTTCTTGGTGTGTACTTTATTTCGAGTCTCAATCCACTACAAAAAAATGATAGACAATGTATCTAACTGGTGAGACAAGTAACATAATTTAAATTTCGTTAAGATAAATCACATAATAACAATTTACATGTTTGCTAGGAGATACATGTATCAATCGAACACTAACTCTTGTACATACATGCTAAAAGGTGCACTGGGCCAAATATCATGATAAATCTCAGTTAAAATTTCACCCTAAGGCTCTCGAAGAGAGTCCGCTAAAATAGCTAATGCGTTCGAATCAGTAATTTCTACGTAATTAGCCAATTAAGCTCTTTTTAACTGAAAAAGGTGTACATGTCCAGGAATAGAAACATCAGAGCCCATTTTTAATTCATTAAACTCCCTATATTTCTCTTCTCTTTCCCTTCATTCAGCCCTTCAATCCCATAACACATTTTGTCTCGCCCTTGGGACATTTTTTTTTGGTAATTATATTATATTTTATATCATCACAAAATCAGTTACACATTTTTCATCTGGAGATCAGTAGTTTGGACATAAGTCCCAAACTTGCTGCATACTATCTCTATTCAACCTTGTCTACAGAGCTCTACTTTCTAAGGATAAAAATTCAAATCTTTCATATATCTATCCAATCTACTATCTCTGCGAGCTCTAACATGAATCTCTCTTATCAGTTGCTTGACTACTTGATCTGCAGATCTGCTGCTTTCCTTGAAAATTCTTGCATTCCTTTCCTGCCATAAGTGATACACTCCACCAGCTAATAACATTTTGTATACCTCCTGTTGAGCAGTCTTCCCAGTAGCATTTTCTATAGCCCATTGTACTTCATGCTTCCAGTTCCACACTTCTCTTTTTATGCTTTGCCAAGCTAGGAGCTTTGACCACACATGTTTAGCATACATGCACTCAAATAGTAAATGATCAATATCTTCATTTTCTTGCTTGCATAGCACACAATCCATATCAACTAAATTAGCCAGCATGCTATCCTCTCCTTAGTTTGTAGTCTTCTGTGGAGAGCCAAGAATAAGATAAATGTCCATTTAGGCTGGCCATTATTGTTGCAGATCATTCTTCTCCAAGGTACTTTCTGAAATTCCCCACGGTAGGCTCTATACATATCCTTTATTGAGTATTTGGTCATAGCAACTACATCTGTTTCGTGGAGACCTATTTTTTCAAACATGCTTTTAGCTTTAATAATCTTCTGTACCACCCATGAGGCTTTGGTAGTCTTAGTCTCCCATACTTCCCCTGTCTTGATATAGTAAGCGTGGATCCACTTTACCCATAGGCAATCTTTCTTCCTGCATATGTTCCATAGTAGTTTACCAATCGCAGCCCAGTTCCATGTATAGATGTCTAAAATATTTAGACCCCCTGCTGCTTTAGGAAGGCATACTCTATCCCAAGCAATCAGTGCTTTCTTGCTAAGATCACTACCTCCAGTCCATAAAAAACTTCTGCAAGTGGCTTCTATCATCTGAACAACTTTTTTTGGCAGCACAAACACTTGTGACCAGTATACTTGAATAGAGTACAACACGGATTTCACAAGTTGGATTCTTCCAGCATATGATAAGTATCTAGTGGTCCATGATTTTATTCTAGCCAGCATCTTGTCTATTAGAGGTTTGCATTGAATAATAGACAACCTTTTTGTACTCAGGGGAATACGTAAGTGCCTAAAAGGTAGATCCCCCTTACCAAATTGGGTAGTCTGAAGGATTAGTTATTGGATCTCCTGAGGGACACCACCAAAGTACACTGAGCTTTTCTCAGTATTGGCACTCAATCCAGACACTTGTGAGAACTTTTGGAAGCACTGCATCAGGATAGTGATAGACTCTAGTTCTCCATTGCAGAATAATAAGAGATCATCTGCAAATCCAAGCTGAATAATCTGCATCCTTTTGCATCTAGGGTGAAATTTGAACTTTTTATCTTCACAGACACCCTTCAAACTTCTGCTAAGGTATTCCATGGCAAGCACAAAAAGGAATGGGGAAAGAGGGTTTCCTTGCCTTAGACCTTTCTTAGCTGGAAAAGGTGGTAGTGGCTCTCCATTGAGTAAAACTGAATAGGATACTGTTGAGATGCAGCACATAATCCATCTGATAAACTTTGCTGGGAACTGGAGGCATTGAAGGACTTGCTCAACATATGGCCATTCTATTGAGTCATAAGCCTTTCTCACGTCTATTTTTAGCATACATCTAGGGGTGATACCTTTCCTGCCATAGCCCTTCACCAATTCATGCTCAAGATGATATTGTCTGTGATTAATCTTCCTGGAACAAAGGCTGATTGACTTTTGTCCACCAGACTGTCCATCATCACCTGCATCCTAGTAGTAAGGATTTTGGAAATCAGCTTATATAGCATAGTGCAGCATGCTATTGGTCTGAATTCTGATATTTTTGTGGGGTTCTTGATCTTTGGGATTAGTGTAATTGTTGTACAGTTTATAGCTTTGTATATATCTCCATCAATGAAGAATTGGAGGACTGCTTCAGTAACCTTGTTTCCAATCACACTCCAAGCTTTTTTGAAAAAGAGTGCATTGAAACCATCACATCCTAGAGCTTTATGATCATCAATACTCATAAGGGCTTGAAATACTTCTTCCTTAGTAACCTGTGACACTAGCTGCAATTGTTGGTGTCTATTAAGCATTTTTCCACGTTTCATTACCTCAGGGTCTATTGCTGGCAGTTGGCTAGCAGCACTCCCTAGTAGTGCTTTGTAGAACTAGTTACTTCGATAGCAATATCTTCTGGCTGGTGGATAATGTTTTCATTAGAATCACAAAGGCTTGTAATTCTGTTCTAAGTCTGTCTGCTCCTTAAGCTGGCAAAGAAGTAGGCATTGTTCTCATCCCCTAGTTCTACCCATTTATTCCTAGATTTCTGCTTTAGGATACTTCCCTCCACTAGGCTCCATTTCTCTAGCTTCATCTTCACTTCTGTCTCTTCTTCAAACAGGAAATCTAGTTGAGTTTGATGGCCCCTTTGTGTTTGTATGTCTTGTAGCTTCTTCCTATAGAATTCCATCTTCTCCCCTATATTCCTGAATTCTGCATGATTCAGTTGTTTCAATTCTTTCTTCATTTCTTTTAGCTTTCACCATATGTTTTTCATGTGCTGCTTTGTTGTAGGTTTGTACCAGGTATTAGCCACCACTTTCAGGAAATCTGTGTGATCTGCAAGGCAGTTCAAGAATCTAAAAGGCTTTGGACTTCTTTGTACATTATTTTGTAATTCGACACACAAAGGAGTATGGTCTGAAATCCCAGGATTTAAAATCATTACTTCAGTAGTAGCAATTGTCATCAACCATTCAGCATTCACAAGGGCTCTGTCTATCCTGCTCCAGATGTGACCATTTGACCAAGTATATTTCCTCCCTATTGCTCGTAATTCTGTCATGCCACTCGTTTGTATAAAGTCATTGAAATCCCTTACTTCATTATCTTGGACTGGGTTGCCAAATTGCCTGTCTTCTAAGTCAGTTATAGCATTGAAATCCCCAAAGACTAGCCATGAACTCTGAATATGCCTATTTGCCCCTTTCAACTCTTCCCATAACTCCTTCCTTGCCTCGATAGTATGTAAACCATAGATTGTTGTCAGGTGTAGTTTTAGATGTAATTGAGGAATGCTAAGGATTCCATGAATAGCCTGAGAACTCATATTAGTAGCTTCAAAATCCATCCTGTTTGGATCCCGCATAATCCATATTCTTCCTTTTGAGCTATATGCATAGTTTGCACACCATTTCCAGTTTGCTGCAATTTTTAGAATTACTCTGCCAGCATTGTCTTCCTTTACTCTATTTTCTAATATAGCTATCAGTGCTATATCATTATTTACAATGAACTTCTTTACCTCTTTTTGCTTATAGACTTTATTTACACCTCTCACATTCCAAGCTATAAGTTTCATTCACTTGGTTGTTTGGATTTAGGATCCCCAATATCCCCCTGGTAACTACATTGCCCTTTCTCCATATTTATATCTCCTATCTCAAAATTAAGAGGACTGAAACCATTCACCATATTAATGCCAGTATCACCCCTGATGCTTGCCATACCACTTTTAGCTGCAGATTTTCTTTTAGCTAGTTCCCATTATGGAAGTTTCTCATTCTCAGTATCCCCTATCTTGCTTGCCTGTATCCCATTGTCAGTTGGGACACTTTCATCTTTTTCAACCCTGCTTGGTTCTGCTCTTCTTCTCCATTCCATCTTTGGTTTTTGTTGCTTTTGTTTTCCTTCTATAGCTTTCTGAACATTCCTGCAACTATGTCCAACCTGAAGGCAGGTGTGACAATACTCAGGAATCCAGTCATAATCAATAGATTGCTCAAAAACTTTGCCCTTAGGATCCATCACCTTTAGCACTGTAGGCATATCTTTTGTAACATCCATTTCAACCAAAGCCTTGCATAGGAAATCCTCTTAATTTTTGAGGTGCACTCATCTGCATACAGAGGTATTCCTAATCCACTTCCAATCCTACTAAGTGAGTCCATACTCCAGCAGTTCAGCGGCAAGTTGGGCAGTTTTACCCAAATAGGTATTGTCTGCAACACTTCCTTACTGAAATCAAAATTAGGTGACCAGGCTTTGACAATTATAGGCTTGTTTCTTATCATATACGGTCCAGACATCAGCACAGCATCCCTGTCTTCCATGCTAAGCTTGACAACAAAATAGTCATCATTATGGAAGTATATTTTTGGTTTGCTAATGAAGTTCCACTGTGTGGCGATAAATCGATCCACCATACCAATTGAAGGGGAGTCACCCACAACATACAGCACAATTGCATGTTGCCATTTCATCATTTCACGATCAACCTCATTTGTGTCTAGTTCAACTATTTTTTCACCATTTTTGACTATCGGAGCAATAAATTTGAGGTTCATACCTCTAGACGCCAAGTTGTTTCTAGCAAATAGGTTCACCCACTCCTTCTGCTGTTCCTCTGTTGGTTTTTTAGGAATTTGAGCTTCCATTGCCATAACTAGTTCCTCCTTCCTCTGTATCACCTTTTCAACGTCAATATTCTTCGCGATTGGGACTTTCTCCAGTAGTTTCACACTTTGGATCTATTCACCTTTATCAATTGGAGTGGATCTAGCTGAATTCACTCCATGCAAAGGTGGCCACATCTCAGTAATGCTCTGCAACTGTTCCATTAGACTCGGCAACTTCTGCATGTCATCGATCTTCTTTGTTTGCTCAATTGTTGATTCCTTACTCATACTTATGATTTGGATCACTCTCTTAGGTCTCCCCCTACCCATACCGGCAGAGGCGCACGTTAGGCCACCGTCAATGCGCGTCCGGCGTCGCTGTTTTTAGATAGAGAAAGTAGAGAGAAGTCAGAGAAAATTACTGCACTTGTCTCGCCCTTGGGACATTCCTGATGACTTCAAGCTCCGAGTCTAAATCATTATAGAAATAAGTCCTGCGACGACATACCCTTCTACGTTGTCCCCTTCCTTGACTTCGAGAACTCCCACTTGGAGTAATTTGAACTTGTCCCTGTTCAGCCATATCTGAAACAGGACCAAGGAATCAGAAATATGGTTGTTACCATTTAATTCGACAATGTATGTCACAAATTTTTGGTAGAAGACAAAAAGGATCATAAAAGGGTTTTTAAAGTTGGAAGATTCCGTTTTTCACATAAAAAATATTTTCGGAAAGCCCAAAATGAGTATGTCATGAATATATAAGTTTTAGGCAAAAATATTTAACAAGTTATTTCAAAAATGCTGAAAACAGAAGCAATTTTTCGTCAAAAATAGTCAAAAATTGCAAATCTTCAAAATATCATATCTCACTCGTTTATAATCCGTTTTTCACATATAATATATTTTCGGAAAGCACAAAACGAGTAGAACATTATTATATAAGTTTTAGGCAAAAAGTATTAACAAGTTATGGCTAAAACGCTAAAAACAGAAGCAGTGTTTCGTCAGAAAAATAGTCAAAATCTGCCAATCATCAAAAAATCATATCTCACTCGTTTCTAATATGTTTTTCACATATAATATATTTTTGGAAAGCTCAAAATGAGTATAACACGATTATATAAGTTTTAGGCAAAAGATTTTAACAAGTTTCTAAAACGCTGAAAACAGAAGCAGTTTTTCGTCAGAAAAATAGTCAAAAACTGCCTATCTTCAAAAAAATCATATCTCACTCGTTTTTAATCCGTTTTTCACATATAATATATTTTCAGAAAGACCAAAATGAGTAGAACATGATTATATAAGTTTTAGGCAAAAAATTTTAACAAGTTATGGCCAATACGCAAAAAACCAGAAACAGTTGTCTCTGAAACTTGTCAAGAATTAGCCAACAAAAAAAATCTCAACCTAAACTTATAAAACAGCGATTTCAAGACAATTTACATGAATAACTGGATCATTCAACCATTGCTCTGATACCAATGTAAAGAAAATAATCGCGGGGCGAAAACAACATTAGCGTACCTGTCAACGCAGCAGAAGAATTGTTGAACTCACCACCAAAAGAATTGCCCCAAGTCGAACTTTGAATCTCTTGAAAAACAAAGTTTAGTTTCACAAACTAAATGTCTTTCTTCTTGTGTGTTTTGCAAAAAGAAGAAGAGAAATCTTCACTGTTAAGGAAGAAGAAAATTAATGAAAAAGGAAGAGCAAATCCACTCTTTCTGTTCGTTCATGCCCACTTTAATAGGAAGACCAAATAAGTTATTATAGAGAAAGAATTAGCTGCTATGGGAAAAACAACTCTCAGCTACACCCAAACGTGTAGTAACTTCTCCAAAGAAGTTATTTTATTCTGAAACTTTATCTCTTCCCAAATGGGTTGGGTCAGCCCATATAGAGTGACCCGGTATCCGAATTTAATATCCAATATCACCCATTATTTAAAGTTAATAAATATGGAGCACTTCATATTTTGTTAAATATTATATCCGTAAGAGAATCCCAAATATTTTTAGATATTTTTTAAGAAAATTCTATATCAAATCTTAAAAGTATATATAAAAATTATACATTTATATGTCGGTTTGGTTCAGATTTTTTTAATCAATACCAAACCAAACCCCGTCGAGCTCTTAAATTAGTTTGGTTTGACTTTTCGATTTGGTGCGGTTTTCCGGTTCGAATTATACAACCCTAATAGTAGGAGTCATATTTATTATTCCTTTATCAAAATTGTTGGGTTTTTTTTGGGGT